TTCATTTATAGTTCTTCATTCCTCCTGGCAGCTTTGTTATTTTTTTGTACCATGTTCGAATGTTCAATAAAGATTTATTTAAAAAACGGTCGCTGTTTTGGCAGCAATGAATTGTGGGTAATACACTTCACCGATGTCCGTAAAAGTGCAGACTTCGTGGAAGGGCGGAAATAGTGCCCAAATTGGGCGGGGCAAAGGGTGGATGTGGAGAATGTGGGACACACTACGCACTCAAACCCTTCAACATGAACGCACATTTGAACGAGGGTGGGAGTGCAGGTAGTGGGACAGGGCCTTTGAGCTGATTTACAGGAAGTGACATCACTCCTGCTGATAAACTGTTTCCTGGTCCACAGGAACATTAAATCCTACAGAACATGTTTCTGTTCTACACTGTAAAAAAATAAATGTTGACTATTAGCATCACCATGTGTCAATATAGACAACCTTATTAGCCATCAAGATTGTCTGTGACGTACACATCCTGCAAATACAAAAACTCAAAGAAAGCATCTATACTTAAGAAAACTGGCATAGTACACATGATTTTACCTATTTTGTCACATAACTGGCATATTTCCTTTTAATTTTGGCTCAGCCAAAGTGAAACAGAAAGTGACATCAAAGGGGAACTCATTTATAAAATAAACTCTCTGGTCTGTTTGTTAAAACATTATTTAAACATTAGCTTTTCTTTGTCTCTCTTTAATAGCGACTAAAAATAATCTAAAGAAACAGATTCTTCTCTACAGTTTGTTGTAGCAACGCTCTGTTTACGTGCAGACATTYCCCTTTGACATCACTTCCTGTTWCYTCACATGCAAATATCTCAACAACTGTTCATCTCAGCGACATGAAATTTGTTTTTCAACATGTTATCAATGTTATCTTTCCAAAAGTGCATTAATGTTTTTACAAATATTGGATGTCACAGACGCTTTAAGATTACAACTGACTTGGTTTTTTTGGACCAACTTAAATTATTGTCGCCAATATGTCAGACTTAGTTTTTCAAGTTTTTTTTAACTGAAAATTGTTTTTCATCCCAAAAAAAAAAGGTTGGATTATTTTACAGTGCAGAATCTTGGGGCGGTTGAGGTGATCCTGGAAGCTCACCTGTGTCTGGTTTGGAGAACTCCAGGCAGAGGATCTCAGAGTCGTGGGCCTGAACGTTCAGGATCTCCTCCATGCTGCTCAGGTCGTGGATCCTGGAGCCACAAACATCACCGACGTTTCAAACCTAAACTCATACACGCCAGGCGGAACAGCAGTTGGACCACGCCCCTTACCTGAGGACCCCCATCCGGTCTCCAGAGGCCAGGTGTTGTCCGTTTGGACTCACTCTCAGGGTTCTGATGCCCGTCCTGCTCTGGTCCGTCTGCTGGCCCTCGGACGCCGATGACCCCGCCTTCTCCGTGTTCCCGTTGGCAACGGTGAAGCTGTCCATGTCCAGGAGACTGGCAGTGTTGTCGTCCACGTAAATAACTTTCTGCAGGTCCTGGGGGGTCAGAGGTCAGGGGTCAGAGTCAGGTCGTACAGGGAAGGGGCGGAGCTGGCGGGGTGTCATACGTTACTCAGGATGTTCCGGTGGAGCACGCTGTGGCGGCCCAGGTTCCACAGCCGGATGGTGTTATCTGAGGAGCAGGACAGGAAGGACCCAGGAGGAAGGTGTCCCTCACATCCTTCTCTTCCTCCTCCTTCTGYGTACACCTGCAGGTGTTTACAGGACAGCAGATGTTTACAACACAAACACGACATATTTGAAATGTCTGTGACACAGTGAGGAGGAGGCGGACCTCGAGGCCCCACACACACGAGGAATGGTAGAGCGCCGAGTAGAGCTTCCCCGTCCTGCGCAGGTCCTGAACGTCCCAAACGTAAAGACTGTGGTCGCTGTAAACGCACGACAGCCAGTGGTTGGTGGGGTCAAAGGTCACCGCCACGGCATCCGGGTACCGCTCCTCCCCTCTGCAGGAGAACAGCTGACTGGAGGAGCAGAAACACACGCTGACACACCTGCACAGGTACTTTAACTTTATTCATTTATTTTTCAAACCTTATTCATTTCTTAAAAAACAAAATTCTATTCACAATAAAAAATAAAGAAAATACAATGAAATGAAAGGAAGCAGAGAAAAGAAAAAGTCATAATATCTGCCTCTTTATTCATCCATCCATCCATCCATTTTCTTCCGCC